TCGGTATGTACTTCGTTCAATTTACGTATTGCTGTGAGGTTTTCTCCTAACGAGATAAAAGATTAACACAATGGTCGTAGTAGCGATCATTACTTCCCCAGTGGTGTGAACTATGACACAACAACAGTGGTGTGAACATGACACAACAACAGTGGTGAACACCACAAACTGAACTTATGACACAACAACAGTGGTGTGAACTTATGACACAACAACAGTGGTGTAGACTTATGACACAACAACAGTGGTGTGAACTATGACCCCACAACAACAGTGGTGTGAACTTATGACACAACAACAGTGGTGGGTGTAACTTGCCAGTGTGTGAACTTATAACACAACAACAGTGGGTGTGAACTTATGACACAACAACAGTGAGGTGTAGACTTATGACCACAACAACAGTGGGTGTGAACCTATAACTTACAACAACAGTGGTGTGAGAACTTATAACACAACAACAGTGGTGTGAACTTATGACACACGACAACAGTGGTGTGAACTTATGACACAACAACAGTAAGGTGTGAACTTATGACACAACAACAGTGGTGTGAACTTATGACACAACAACAGTGGTGTGAAGACATGACACAACAACGGTGGTGTGAACATGACCCTACAACAGTGAGGTGTGAACATGACACAACAACAATGGTGTAGACTTATGACACAACAACAGTGGGTGTAGACTTATGACACAACAACAGTGGTGTAGACTTATGACCAGCAACAGTGGTGGCAGACTATGACACAAAACAACAGTGGTGTGAACTTATGACACAACAACAGTGGTGTGGGAGTATGACACAACAACAGTGGGTAAACTTATGACACAACAACAGTGGGTGCAGACATGACTTAAAAACAGTGGTGTGAACACTTGACACAACAACAGTGGTGTGAACTTATGACACAACAACAGTGGTGTGAACTTATGACACAAGAACAGTGGTGTGAACTTATGACACAACAACAGTGGTGTGAACTTATGACACAAGAACAGTGGTGTGAACTTATGACACAACAACAGTGGTGTGAACTTATGACACAACAACAGTGGTGTGAACTTATGACACAACAACAGTGGTGTGAACTTATGACACGACAACAGTGGTGTGAACTTATGACACAACAACAGTGGTGTGAACTTATGACACAACAACAGTGGTGTGAACTTATGACACAACAACAGTGGTGTGAACTTATGACACAACAACGGTGGTGTGAACTTATGACACAACAACAGTGGTGTGAACTTATGACACAACAACAGTGGTGTGAACTTATGACACAACAACAGTGGTGTGAACTTATGACACAACAACAATGGTGTGAACTTATGACACAACAACAGTGGTGTGAACTTATGACACAACAACAGTGGTGTGAACTTATGACACAACAACAGTGGTGTGAACTTATGACACAACAACAGTGGTGTGAACTTACGACACAACAACAGTGGTGTGAACTTATGACACAACAACAGTGGTGTGAACTTATGACACAACAACAGTGGTGTGAACTTATGACACAACAACAGTGGTGTGAACTTATGACACAACAACAGTGGTGTGAAATTATGACACAACAACAATGGTGTGAACTTATGACACAACAACAGTGGTGTGAACTTATGACACAATATCAGTGGTGTGAACTTATTACACAGCAACAGTGGTGTGAACTTACGACACAACAACAGTGGTGTGAACTTACGACACAACAACAGTGGTGTGAACTTATGACACAACAACAGTGGTGTGAACTTTATGACACAACAACAGTGGTGTAGACTTATGACTTACAACAACAGTGGTGTGAACTTATGACACAACAACAGTGGTGTGAACTTATGACACAACAACAGTGGTGTGAACTTATTATACAGCAACAGTGGTGTGAACTTATGACACAACAACAGTGGTGTGAACTTATGACACAACAACAGTGGTGTTGAACTTATGACACAACAACAGTGGTGTGAACTTATGACACAAGAACAGTGATGTGAACTTACGACACAACAACAGTGGTGTGAACTTACGACACAACAACAGTGGTGTGAACTTATGACGCAATAACAGTGGTGTGAACTTATGACACAATAACAGTGGTGTGAACTTATGACACAGCAACAGTGGTGTGAACTTATGACATAACAACAGTGGTGTGAACTTATGACACAACAACAGTAGTGTGAACTTACGACACAGCAACAGTAGTGTGAACTTACGACACAGCAACAGTGGTGTGAACTTATGACACAACAACAGTAGTGTGAACTTACGACACAGCAATATTGATGTGAACTTATGACAACAATTCATTATCATATTATTGTGCATTTGTTTAGTGCATCGCAAAACTCCTCACTGAGTCACTGTGCATTTGTCAGTGTGCTGTGCAGCTCATTCTTAATTAAATCACTGTCCATTTGTTCAAAATATAATATAATTGCTCAGTTTTAGGAACACATCATCACATCACTGTGTATTTGCTCAGTACACTATAAGCCTCGCCATTATATACATAACAGCGCAGTTATTATCAAGAACTAGAAATTATCTGTCACAAACAAAGCTTATCTCACACCCGTATCTCTGATGTGACAGGTGGGGTGATGTGACAGGTAAGGTGGTGGAGGAGGTGTGACAGGTAAGGTGGTGGAGGAGGTGTGACAGGTAATGTGGTGGAGGAGGTGTGACAGGTAAGATGGTGGAGGTGTGACAGGTAAGGTGGTGGAGGAGGTGTGACAGGTAAGGTGGTGGAGGAGGTGTGACAGGTAAGGTGGTGGAGGAGGTGTGACAGGTAAGGTGGTGGAGGAGGTGTGACAGGTAAGGTGGTGGAGGAGGTGTGACAGGGTGGTGGTGGAGGAGGTGTGACAGGTAAGGTGGTGGAGGAGGTGTGACGGGTAAGATGGTGGAGGAGGTGGGACAGGTTGGGGGATGAACGCCTCTCACCTGGGGGAGGGGTGCCTAAACTTTTACGAATGGTGATTATAGAGTTAGTACCTTCACCCAGCCTGTTAGTACAGTAACTCTGTCGGAACACGTGTGTAGTCTCTAGGTACCTGTGCAGTGATTTAATCTATTATGACCTATTTTAATTTAATTTAACCTAACCCAACCTAACCTAACGTAACCAAACCATTAGAATTAGGTGTCCCTTTTATGACTGGGTTTCACATATAAAGTACTGTACAGGCAAGTGGAGTGCTTCCCATATGACCACAGTATGAGAAAGGTGGTGCCTTAGTTTAGACGTGAATAAGAAGATATTTAAAAGAAACTTAAATAAGGAATAATAAATTACTAGTAGTAATATAATAAATTTTCTGGGAATTAAATATAGAACATATTTCATCCTGACCATTAGTGAGGCTCATTAGATCTGAGGTGAATTAGTACACTACTTCAGATTCTGTTCTCTCTCTCTCTCTCTCTCTCTCTGTAAAAAATATCTTTACAATTATTATGCAAAACTAAATGCCACCACGAATGAAGGTATTTGATAAAGGTTCATGAGGCATACTGTTATTCACCAGTCATAACGCAACCAACTAATTTTATATTTTGAGTGAAATAACAGAATTGTTCAGTTCCAAA